ATATATATATATATATATATATATATATATATATATATATATATAGATAGATAGATAGATAGATAGATAGATAGATATGACTTTAATGTGAATTTGGTACGATGAATTGTCAACTTATGTCGCTACACGTACTATAAGGGGGTCGTGTGGCGCCGGCGTAGAGGTAGCGTGTTCGACTCAGACCCAAGAGGTCCAGGGTTCGAATTCTGCCGATCATGTGCCCTTGGTAAAGGCACTTTACACGACTTTCCTCAATTCACTACCTCGCTTTGGTTAGGGAGGTCCCTCGGATAGGACGTTTAACTAGGACGCTGTCATCACGCTTTCTCTGTGACCTAAAATCGGTCGGAGGGCGGAGAGAGCCCCGTTCATGAGAGCGCCGAGGTCGCCATGTTTTGTATCAAAATCAAAGTAGGGGCATGGCGCGCTCTCGCTTTGCGCTCTCATTGCGCTCTCATAGCGCTCTCACGGCGCTCATCGTTGCATCGCCGTCCTCGGCGCTCTCATGGCGATGGTATGACCCGGTTCTATACCATCGCCGAGGTGACGGCGCTCATGAAAGTCATGGTGCTCTCATCGTCTCATCGCGCTCTCGTCGCGCTTCCATTACGACCTTGGTCCTTTCCCAGTGCTCTGGCCAATTTCAGGTCGCTGCACCTGGTAGTGAGAGTGCCTAGCCTGGGTGCCAGCCCCTACCGCGAATGAGAGCTAACCCCTCCGGGCAGGGAAGCCATACCGACCCCGATTTGCGCCCTGGCCCTTATTATCTCTTTGGCCCTCTGGCGTGAAAGAGAAAGGGTTTGGGGCAGCCTGGGCTTGGGCGGCGGATACAGTACCGGACATTAGGGCTTCTTTTCACAAAAAAATCCATACCTTATTAACGCCAGCGTCTTGCACCCAGGCTAAGAGTGCCGGGAGAGCGCCGTCTAAGTGAACGGACTTAAAAGGTTAAAAAAAACCCTAAAACAAGGTACGAGTGTTGCACCACCCATAGATTTCTAGATCCAGCCCACCATACAAAACACACGCTACAAAACAAAAATAATTTAACTTTAGCGACGGTCATTCTTGCTTCATAGATTTAAGTATGCCTTGGAATAATATTGATTCAACTTTAACCCTATTTAGACCTAGCCTCCTTCGCAGTCTTGTTGGGCGTGGGCGTAATTTTTTCTCTGAGCGACGCGAGTAATATGTCGCCGCGAGGGACGATTTGCTGTCGAGGGACTTTTGCCACGGAGAGAAGGTTTCCGCGCTCCAACGTTGGAGCACGAAACCTTCTCTCCGTGGCAAAAGTCCCTCGGCAGCAAATCGTCCC